GGGACAGTGAGGGACAGGGAGGGACAGGGACAGTGAGGGACAGGGACAGTGAGGGACAGGAGGGACACAACAGGGACAGTGAGGGACACAGGGGACAGGAGGGGACAGGGGGGACAGGAGGGACGGGGGGGACAGGGATGGGCAAGGAGGGACAGCAAGAGGGACAGGGAGGGACAGGAGGAGGGACAGGGAGGGACAGAGAGGGACAATGAGGGACTGCAGGAGGGACAGGAAGGGACAGGAGGAGGGACAGAGGGGACAGGGAGGGACAGAGAGGGACAGCAGGAGGGGCTGGACACAGAGAAGGGACACAACAAGTGTCCCCAGGCCACAGGAGGTCCGAGGGGAACCCTGCAGCCAGAACCCAGGAACGGCACCACGGCGGCTCCCGAAGCTCTGCTGCACCTTCAGTTTGCTTTTCCAAGGAAAAAATTCCCCTATTTTTACGGACAGGACGCCGGGGATGCAGCTCAGCAGCTGCCAAAGCCATGCCAAGCAACTTGCAGAGCTGGAACTGGCACCTCTCACCTCCCAGCTCCAAATTACAGCTCTTCTCTGTTTAAAACAGATGGAACAATGGGTCTGATTTAAACAGAGGCTGCTCCTCCCTGGGAAGGATGGATGGATGGATGGATGGATGGATGGATGGATGGATGGATGGATGGATGATGGATGGATGATGGATGGATGATGGATGGATGGATGGATGATGGATGATGGATGATGGATGATGGATGGATGGATGGATGATGGATGGATGATGGATGGATGATGGATGGATGATGGATGATGGATGGATGATGGATGGATGGATGATGGATGGATGATGGATGGATGGATGATGGATGGATGATGGATGATGGATGATGGATGATGGATGGATGATGGATGGATGGATGGATGATGGATGGATGATGGATGGATGGATGGATGGATGATGGATGGATGGATGGATGATGGATGATGGATGGATGGATGGCGGTTACAGCAGAGGAACCCACGGAGGCAGGAGAAAGGCGGGATACACAGGGGCAGGCTCTGCACAGACAGGAGATGCTAATGGAACATGACTGACTTGTTTAGCAGGGGAGGAAAAAAGGAGAAATGAGGAAAGGGAAGAGAGCAAACAGCAATCCAGGCTGACACGAGACACTCCCCGTGGCAAAGGCTCGGAGGGAGGCTGGAGAATGAAGCAGAGCTGGGGGAGCAGAGGAGCAGGAGCCATGGCCAAACACAAATAGCACAGGAGGAGTTTTCCTGCTGGGGCTGGGAACGCCCGTGAGTCAGAGCTCGCAGCAGCTCCTGCTGCTGCAGCCAAAATCCAAAGGGCTTTTCCCAATTATTTTTTGGGAGAGGTACTACGAGTGATGACGATTCCTGCTCCTCCAGTGAGAGCCACTCTGGGAGTTTTGGGGGTGAAGGTTCCTGAGCAGCAGCTGGGCCAGGCTGCAATTAATAATGGGAAATTTATTGAGGAATTCCTGATGGATAATTCCCTCCTGTGCCAGCCTGTCTTCTGCCTTCTGGGCTGGGCCACACTCTCACACTCATCCAAGCAACTCCCACACCACAGCTCCTGATCCAGCTGCTTTTTTGGCTGCCATAAATTAACTTCATTTTTAGAGGTGCAGATTTTACACTGGGAATGTTCTTTATGTGGTTTATCTTCTCCTTCCTCCTAACCACGACTTTCCCTGCTCCAATTCCAGGGTGCCAAGTTTCCAGTGAGGAATTACTGAGCGGGATCCTACTCTGACCTCCACTAATTTGGGAATTACAGTTAATTCCTGACCCTCCACTAAGTCAGGAGAGGCTTTTGATCGTCACCACCGAGCCTCTGTAGCATTATAAATAAAATAAGGGATGTTATAAATAAAATAAAGGACGCTGGAATGTGCTGGGATGCCCAGAGGGCTGAGGAGCACTTAGAGCTTCCAGCACAGCCCTGGCAGTGCACACAGACCCTGGAGGGAGTTTCCAGGAGCAGAGGAACCCCAGGATGATTCCAGGAGTGGAGGAACCCCAGGATCACCCCAGGATGTTTCCAGGAGCAGAGGAACCCCAGGATCACCCCAGGATGATTCCAGCAGCAGAGGAATCACCCAGGATCACCCCAGGGAGATTCCAGGAGCAGAGGAACCCCCCAGGATCACCCCAGGATGTTTCCAGGAGCAGAGGAACCCCAGGATCGCCCCAGGATGTTTCCAGCAGCAGAGGAACCCCCCAGGATCACCCCAGGGAGTTTTTCCAGGAGTGGAGGAACCCCAGGATCACCCCAGGGAGTTTCCAGGAGTGGAGGAACCCCAGGATCACCCCAGGATGTTTCCAGCAGCAGAGGAACCCCAGGATCACCCCAGGACACTTACACATTCCGTTGGGAGCTGCCAGCGGCACGCGGGGCCCGATGAGGTTCCCGGCCATGGGGTGCCCCAGCGGTGGGGTGCTGCCGGGTGGGGCAGCCCCAGGGCTGGGGTGGATGCTGGAGGACATCATCCTGCCTGCCATGGGCTGTCCAGGGAGCATCTGACCTGCAGAGGAGGGACAGACAGCGGGGTGAGCCCTGGAGAGCCGCAGGGAGAGCCATGGGGGCTGTGCTCCCTGCAGAGCCTCACAGGCGGCTCCTCCCGTGCCCCACACTCCCAGGAAATGCCTTTTCAACCCCTCAGGAAGGGCCAGGGGCACCTGGAATCACGAGGGAAAAGTGGGAGACAACACAGGCAAACCCAGTGCTGGCACTGAAACCACCCTGGAAAGGGCATCCCGTGAAACCTCACGGATAAATTGGGTGGGAGAACTGAAATCGCACAGCTGGAATTGGCTGCTCAGGAATTCCTGCTGTGATTCCCTGGAGGGAGGATCCCACTGCTCCTCCTCACAAACCAGCTCCCTGTTCCAGCTACAACACCCGGCCTTGGGCACCTCCAGCTGGGGTTGATGCTTTAAAAACTCATCTGAGGGATGGTTTGGTGTTTTCCAATTCCATTTCCTTCCACACACTTCCATGGAGGGACAGTGTTTTAATGAGACAGGGATGGACACCTAACCCCAGGCAAGGGGGGGAGGACCTGAAGGGGCTCCAGGAGAGCTGGAGAGGGGCTGGGGACAAGGGATGGAGGGACAGGACACAGGGAATGGCTCCCAGGGCCAGAGGAATGGGACACTGGGAAACATCATCCAGTTCCAACCTCCCAAAGACTCAGAGGCTTTGTGGCAGAAAAGGATATTAGATATATAAATATATAGATATATAGATATATAGATATATAGATATATAGATATATAGATATATAGATAAATAGATATATAGATATATATAGATATATAGATATATAGATAAATAGATATATAGATATAGATATATATATATATATATAGATAGATAGATATAGATATATAGATATTCTATGAGGGGAGTCATCCACTGGCAAAGTTCAGGTTGATCAGGGAATAAAAATCATGAAAACTGGAACAATACAGATGTGTTTGCCCAGGAAAGGTGGGAACCAAGGAATTCCCAGGCTGGGAGCTGCCACCTGACAGGAGCCTCAGGGATTTGGCCATCCCTGAACACCACGGGCCTTCGAGATTCTCTCTCACTAATGAAGTGATTAATGTTAAAATCCCTCTTCAGAAGCACCTGAAGCTGAATCAGACTTTACTACACAGTGAGTGGCTTCACGTGAAACTCCAGCACTGGGCAAGAATTCCTTCAGGGAAAGGCTGACAAACCTGCAGGGACGTGAAGATTCAAGGATGTTTTATATGCAAATCAACCCCAGCTGAGCCAAAATCACCACTGAACAGAAACTAAATCTACTTTGTAAAATGTCATGAATGCAAAGTGTGTCCCTGGATCCCTGGCAGTGCCCCAGGCCAGGCTGGATGGGGTTTGGAGCAGCCTGGGACAGTGACAGAGGTGTCCCTGCCATGTCTGGGGTGGCTCTGGATGATCCTGAATGTCCCTTCCAACCCAAATCAACTCCAGATCTCCCAGCAATGCTCACTGGGAAGCTCCCTCCTTCCCACACCTCGGAGTGTCCCTGTTTTTCCCTGTTAAACCTCAGAGGTTTAACACCAAGGGGTGCTGCAGGTTTGCTCAAGTTGTCCCTGAGCTTTGCAGCTCCTCTTTGTGAGCCTTTGGCCGCCCATTTTCTCCCTTCCTGACACGGGATGCGACATTTTCATCTCAAAATTAGCTTAGGGAGCTGGCAGAGGAACAAACCCATGCCATGGCAGCTCCAAAAGCCCCGAGCTGAGAGGAGCCCATCCTGGGTGGGATTAAGCAGGGGGAAATCACCGCTGCCACCAGGGCAGCACCAGAGCCCTGCTCCTACAGACTCGTTCTGTTTCCAAGAGAAAGCGCTCCGAGACAGCGGCTCAAGCAGAAAATGTGCAAGTGTGACCTACATAGGGGGGAGAGCTTAGGAACAGCAGCTGTGGGAAGAGATCCAGCCCAAAGGTTCAACACAACGAGGTTTTACTGACTGGAAACCCCTCAGACGGAGGGGCTGGGCAGGTTCACCTTCCCCTGCTGCCAATGCAGCCTCACATTCCCAGGAAACAGGGGAGGAATTGCCTTTAGAGGCTCTCCAAGGTATTTATCTCCATTAAAAAGCCTCTCCCTCTATTAAATCAGCACTTGAGGAGCACTGGGCTGATAAGCAGCCAGAGGGGTTTTGTTGTGATGCACAAGGATTGGAGCTGATCCAAATCCTCCGGCATCTCTCCCTGCCTGGCCTGAGCAGGGAAACCCAGGGACACAGGGAAAATCCATGGACACAGGAAACCCATGGACACAGAAAACACATGGACACAGGGAATGAGTGAAGGGAAAACCCAGGGACACAGAAAACCCATGGACACAGGGAATGAGTGCAGGGAAAACCCAGGGACACAGAAAACACATGGACACAGGGAATGAGTGCAGGGAAAACCCAGGGACACAGAGGGAAAATCCATAGACACAGGAAACCCATGGACACAGGGAATGAGTGCAGAGAAAACCCGGGGACACAGGGAGGGAGTGCAGGGAAACCCATGGACACAGGGAATGTTCTGATCAGGGAAAACCCCTGGACACAGAAAACCCCTGGACACAGGAAACCCATGGACACAGGGAATGTTCTGAGCAGGGAAAACCCCTGGACACAGAAAACCCCTGGACACAGGGAATGCTCTGAGCAGGAAAACCCATGGACACAGGGAGTGAGAGCAGGGAAAAGCCAGGGACACAGGGAATGCTCTGAGCAGGAAAACCCATGGACACAGGAAACCCATGGACACAGGGAATGTTCTGATCAGGGAAACCCCTGGAC